TTTATTTTTTTTTATAAAAATATCAATAAAATTTTATTTGTTGGTTAAAAAAGCGTGAAAATTTAATAGAAGGCTCCTAGTATAATGTTTCAAAGGTAGATGAAAAATATCAAAAAACCCTAGTCACAGGTTTTTTTTTATTAGCAATAAGCATTTAAAGTTCAAATTTGACAAGATATGGAAAAATCACGAAAATTATCAAAGTATTTTGAGTTAAGAATTCGTAAAAACTTTTCTTTTGAAATCTAAGATTTTAAAATGTAATACAAGATTCCTTATAAGATTATCTACCTTTATCAAAAAAAAAATGTCCATAAGAAAGTCTAATTAAATTGTTATGAGCGTTTGAAATCAAATTTTTACAATATTGGATATTCACTCGATTTTTCATGTAGCGATTTCCTTATTTTGTTGTTATTCAAAAACGAATAACTGTAGATATATGAAAATTAAACTGAATGTTTATATTAGCATTTCCTATACACCATTCAATTTTGAAAATATTTAATAAATATTTTGACTCTTTTTAAGCTGTTTACGGACATTTTCAGTTTTCAATTTTACTAGTGTATACTTGAAACTTCTAAAGTACACTATTATATATCTATGATGGTATCAGGGTTTGTTGTTGATGTTTAACGCGTTATAAGTACCTAATGGATATTGTGATATGATTAATTTGGAATTTATTATGGGTATCTATTATAGATCAATTTTTTTTAATACCATGGATAAGTAAATATTATATCTTATACCTAGACTGACATACCGTCTCCGCTCAGAATCGTTTTTCTTGTACAATGATATTATATGTATATCATTGAATTCAAAATTAATACCATCCACTATACCGTGACCCACTTGTAACCTACTGTACAGCAGAGCACCTTTTTAAGTAATTAATTAAACTATTGCTACGGTAATTCAAATAAAAGATTAAATTAATTTTTTTTGAAAGCATTGCATTTTATCGTCAGGAACCGAGTAAATCAATATATTATATAACTAGAAATATTTAGTAGAATTCTATCAAACTTCAAACGGTATAGGTAGAGTGTACCTCCCCCCCCCCAAAAAAAAAAAAAAAATGTCAAAGAGAAAGTACTCCATCCTCCAACACTTAAGAATAATAAATAACAATGTGCACTGTTTACGTGTAGATCAAGTCCTTAAAAATAATTGAAGACAATTTTGACGTGTTTCAATATCTGGTGACGGATAAAATGGCGTACTTCGAGTACGTTCCGTCGTCGATCATTGATCTAGTGGACACAGACGAAATAAATAATGGTGACGCAGCCGACGTCAGTAAATGTGAAGCGGCCAACTACAACATTAGCAACGCGACCTACGACAACGGTCACGATGACTGTACGACGTACGTCGATGGCGGATCGATCTACGACAGCGGCGGGCTGACTTACGACGAGCGTAGACAGACCTATGACAACGGTGTGGCGACAGTGAGCGCGGCAGATGAAGAGCGGGCGACCAGCGTTGGTGCGCCGGACGCGACGGCGTTGGTAGTGGACGAGGACGCCGGTGAGGAATCCGATTATTCAAAGTTCTGTCTGGAACGCAACGAAGTGGTCGAGGGCACCATGGGCCGCATCACCGGACCCACTAGCCTCACGTTGGTGATCAATAAAATTGGAGGTGTCGACCTGAGCATCGCCAAGAACGACATGCACAAAGTAATTTTCAACAAATGCAGCACCTTGCCGCCGCCCAACCACATCGTACCAGGTATGAAACGTAAACGCACGACTAAGGTAGGTGAGTGTGGCCTTTCTGGAGAGAATAATATGAACTGATAAAGTCATCAAATTTTTGGCCGATCGCTGAGATGCCTAGGGCGCAACTAGGGTTGGGGTGGTTGACTATGAGTCTTAGCCCTCCACCCAAATATCCCTTATTGATTTAGATATATGCCCCCTATAATGGGTTATTTAAAATAAATAGTTTTGTTAGGTGGGCTGTAGCCCCCTCCCAGAATTTTAACCATAGTGGTGCCTATGCTGAGATGTCCTCGATTGATATAGTCGATCCTTACATCAAAACCATAAGACCCAAATTATTTTTTGTTTTTATCAGTCTTTCATACTCTGGGTTGCTAAAAAAAATTGTTTTAAATACAACTATAATAGTTGATCTCTTGATGTTTGAAAAACTATTTTTCGTATTATCACAAATAGAATATTTGAAGGTATAGTATTATTATTATTTTAAATAGCATAGGTAACAATAAAAATTATAACGTTTATATAATTTTAATAAAATGTTTTTTTTTCATAATTGAAGACTTTGGGGCAACAACGAGACATGTCCATGTTTTGGTCAAAATCACTTTTTCCCGTCGTAAAATATAAAAAAAAAATCTGCATCGATTGGTGTAACAATGAGACATGTCCGACTGTTATATATGGAGTTATAATATGTCTTGTTGTTGTGTTGGTGCAACAACAAGATATGTCCAGAAAAATACATATTAAATAAAAATTTAATTTTGGTGCAACAACAAGATATGTCCAAAAAAAATTTAAATACTGTGCAACAACGAGGCATGTCCAAGCAAATTTGCATTACGGTGCAACAACAAGATATGTCCAAACAAGTTTTTATTGCTTCCTTAACTTACTATCAAAAGTTAAGCACTATCTACTAGTGCATATGTTGTATGTACCCTATAACTAAAATATACTATTTTTTAAAAAATTCTAAATTTTTTTTTTTGGAATTTACAATGTTTTTTTTGTCTCTTGAACAATTTCAAAAAAAGGACATGTCTCGTTGTTGCTCCAAGGTCTTCAATTGCTAAAAGGCTTCAGCTACAGAAGGTTTTAGCCTACTTTAACTTGATATTTAGAAGAAGAAAAAGGTATTAATAAACCATATAAATCTGGATATAGTCTTCAATTTTTTAAATAAAAAATCCGTCAAAATGATTAATGCCTCTGCCCCACTTATTATTGACCATAGGTCGTGACAGAATCCTTTAAGGTAACTATATAGATTCTGCTCCACCAGACGGAGGTGACCAAACACGACTCCTGGTATGTCTTTTACCATTTTCTGTAAACGAATAACTAAATTTCAAAAAGTCGATATATAGTATCGGATGATTCCACCGAAAATTGCATTCGTTTTTAATCTTACGATTAAATTTTTATTCGAGAATTAATTTTTTGGACACATTTTCCTATATACAACCTTAATTCGGATTGTCCGTATAATTTTTTTCATGAGTATTTGACAAGTTTCGACATACCTGACATACCCTGTCGTAAGCATAAAAATTTTAACAAAACAATAGGTAAACAATGTATTTACTGCAACACTGCAGCTGAAAAGCCCGCCGACACTCCCCGACAAAAACGTCCACACACTTTGGCTGCTCATAATTCGCCCTATGATTAATGATTGCGTATCGATAGTTATTCCTACTAATAAAATTATCATGCGATTTTTTTTGTCTCCAGGCACTGCTGTGATTGTTTTTCACAACGTACTGTGGAGACGCGGTGTCGTTGAAGACGGCGGAAAGTCGGTATTTCTGGTCGATTTTGGCATGTCCATCAAGCTGGTAAAAAAAAAGTAAGCCCGCGTCTATATAATATATTTAATAATTAATTATTGTGCGAAGTCTCGAATATTACGCGACGACAGTCATCTGTTGTCGGACGGACAACATTATTATTGTTATCATATGTTTTTTTTTTTTTGTTCGCTTCCGACAGTCTGAGACGGTGTATTGCGGAGTTTTTCGAATTGCCGATGTTCACGATCGACTGTCGGCTGGAAAACTTCAGACCGAGCGACGACGCCGATGCCGAAGACGTCGTTGACAAACTATCGAAAACGTTGAGGGGTGTCAGTTTAAAAATCATCGGAATCGTACGTATATACCTATATTGAAATATTTTTGTTGACGGTCGTTTTTAAATTCGTAAACGGGCCCCCCGTCGACGTGCGTAAAATCCGTTATAACAATATAATATTACAACCGTTATATAATAATATTATAACGTGATTAACGAAAGTCGAAAACGTTTGGTTTACAGAGCGAATCGGACGACGGCGACATCGTCGGCGTGGAGTTGTATAACAGCAAAGAAGAAATTGCATACCAGTCGCTGATTGACGCCAACCTGCTGATTCCCGCCAAATGATGCGCTTTTAATCGAGCGTAACCCTTCCGCAATAACGCGTCTCCCAGTGCGCGTTTGTACACACATTATTAATTTGATTTTAAGTTTATAGACAATTTTATTTATTTTATTTATCGGAGTTAAACATAACCTACAGGGTGAATGTGCTATATAGTTATAATATATAATTATTATACTCTCGATCGGTCTTTGCGATATTAATAACGTGATTGTACCATGTAAGATCAACTGAAAGCCTTGCGTAATTTTATAAATATTGTCATGTGCAAACAAAAGTTAACTATTACATATAGGTATATATTTGGTTACTTTTTTACTTTCGCCGTTGACGATAATGTATATTATGTATTTTTTTTAAAACCTTACTATAATTATCCGTTGTGTACGATTCCTTCGAAGGACATCGAACTAAATACATATCGGACACAGTTTTTAATTTTTATTTACAATATTTCGTTTAATTATATTTTACTATTGTTCTAATTAATATTTTAAAATTTTTTTTGTCATAAAATTGACTAATCGAAAATTCGATTATTTTTAAGGTTTATAGCGACTCATTTCTCGCTTTACTGAAAATAAATAAAAACGTTTAATATTTTTCAATAAAAAAGCTTTCTCATAGATACTTGTTTGTTTTTTTTTATTTACAAAGTTTAAAGTGTACAAAGAATAATCATATACATAAAATAATAGTCTACGCAGTTTAGCCCACCGTCCCGAAGCTGGGCTCACATCCGGCCGTTCCTGCTGTACTTACAATATAAATATAACACAAATCCCCTAAAATTATCTCATTTTTTGTTCCGTTTTTCCGGTCGGTTTTCTCCCTCACGCCGCGTATACGTTCACTTTTTGCCGGCCGTCAGCAGCGGCGGCGGCCGTCTCTTTTCTCTTTTTCTGGTATTCTTCTTTTTGCAGCTTTACCCAGGTGTCGCCCAGAGCTTTGGCGAAATGATCGTCGACCGCTGAAAATAATTTTTTTTTTTATTCATTACTTTAGTCGTGTCAGACAATTTCGAATGTAAATATTATAATTTAATATTATTATCGTCTATCGTGTAAAACTTGTAAGGTTAGATTTAGACGCTTCGCATAATATTATGCTTGCCCGTTGGTACAGTAGTTACAGTATATAATCAGGATGAGAGTTCTAACGGTGTCGCATCTGAAGCTGGTGAGGGAAGGAGTTTCCCAATCGCGCATAAAATTACCTTCACCCCCAACTGCGTGTCCAGTTAAACCATTTCCACAAAAAAAAACTTATTTTAAATACAATGAAAATGAATGAAGATTGGACATATATAGTATAGCAGTATTTAATAATAGTAACGTGTGTCACTCCATTATCTACAGTATTGTGCCGTGTATAATGAACCAATTGGACTGATAAATAGCTAAAGATAATGAAAACATGATTTCGACTATATAGGGGTACAGCGGTGTGTAATAAGTTGTATGTTGGTAATAATAATCACGTTTCATAAAGGTCCCGAATTATTGAAGAATATTGGTTGCAAATCGACTACGTATTAACATTTTAAATGCAATAGAATGCATATTATTTTTTTTTTCGTAAACAAAAAACATTTAATCAGTCGCTCTGCAATAACAAGTTGCCCAATTTTATTGAATATGTGAGTCTTAGGTCTTAGATTATTTTTATCAGTGACGACGGATTAAGATTGGACAAAAACATAATATTTTTCCTGTATAGTATTGAAACTAAAATGTAAGTTCAATATTGGTATAACTGGTCAGCAGGGCACCGTAAACAAAAACAATTGGTATATTATTATATAATTAATGTGTACCTGATAATCCCGCGTCGTCGTCGTCGTCGTCGTCATCGTCGCCGTCGGTCGATGGTGTGGCGGCGGCCGTGACGGCGACCTGTTGCTGTTGTCGTTGCGCGGCGGCCGGCGCGAACACGTTCATGTAGTCTTTGCCCAATGACCGTCTGAAATGTTCGTCGATGCCTGTGTCGCTGATGCCGCCTGTCGCCGCGGCTGCCGACGACGACTGTGACCTGTGTCCGGTGGCCGGAGAAGCCATGATCACCGACGCCCGTTCTTTGGGCAGTGCCCTGGAACCAGCTGTCGTCGTCATGTCTAGCGGCTCTTGAGAGTTTCTGAAACTATACACGTAATATATTAACCGTCGTTGCGATCGGTGACATGGATGCAGCCTTGGAATCAGGGGCGGCTCCAGTCACAAGGTTGGGGGGAAGTCATAATTTTCAGAAAATATCGATTATTTTTTTTTTTGTAATTTTGTTTTTAACAGTATAAAATTGTTTAGAAATACAGCTTAGAGGGGGGCTAGGGCCCCTCTCTGGAGCTGCCCCTGCTTGGAATGCGATAGATGCAACACTGCAGGTTGTATACCCAATGTCAATGGCTCACACTTGGGGCGGAGGGTCCCAAACATCCCCCCTACCTGAAATGTATTTCTACAAAACGTTCCGTTTTGCTTATATGTAATTTCAGGAAAATCATTTAATAGCCCTTTCCCTTCTTTCCTTCCTCCCTCCTACCGAAGAAAAGTCCTATGTGCGCCGCTACTGACCAATATTCCGGTAACCCGAGATGCACAAGCCCTCTATGACCTGTCCTATATAGTGCAGCGACGACGGGTATTTTATTTTATCTCTCGTACAGTTGTACTATAGGTATATACCAGAGGCTCAGACCCCCGAAATATAGCCGAGGAGGGACACTCGATGTGGAGGCGACTTGGTATTATAGTTGGGCCATCAGTCAGCCACGTTCTGAATAAAAATTGGGTGATGTACAGTTCGCTTCGTCTGATAGTATTTTTCTTATTAAGCCAAAAATTGGAAGAAGCTCTCTAGTCGATGTAAATCGGACCTAGTGCACTATAGTCCATGGACGATATCGCACGTTGAAACATCGACGTTCGTCTTAAACTCATAACCAAATTCTTTTGGATAACGCGATATCAGGAATTTTATTTTATCTTTTCACTCGTGTACCTCCATAATATACATTTTTGTGACATTGTATTATTTGCTTGGTTTGCATCTCGCACTGCATATATATATATCTGCTTTCACAGACAATATTTGAATAGTGTAAATGAGCAATGGCAAAAAATAGAGAGCAAGTATTCGTATAATAAGTATAATTAGGTATTGCCTTTATACGCTGCTCTGCAGGGATAAGAAATGTTGGCGATTTGTTCAGCGTTATACTCACAGAATTTGTCGCAAAAAATACATTCTGTGTATTTGAACATATTTTCAAGATAACTATGAATATTTAGCCTATGTTTTTCATAATTCAAAATATAATCCATTACTTTCTATAAAATATTTATATTTGTTTACTTTTCGAGTAATTTGAGGTTTTTATTGTCGGCAAAAAATACTTGTATATGATAAAAAACAATTATTCAAAATATTCAAAACTTGCTCGTAATATTACTAATTAAATTAGTAATGTAGTTGATCATTAAATTCCTTTAGATGTGGTTGTATTTTCATACGCATAATATCTAAAACTTTGTGTCAGTTTTTAATTTTTATCTAAATCTGTTACATCTATCAATAAATACAACGCCATTTTGTATGGTAAAAGTTATTTGAATTGTCTTTAATACTTGATCGAGTTGTATAGTCGTTTCGAATTTTTTTATTTCGGTTTTAAATGTAAAACAAACAATAATATACATGGTAGTAATGTATATCATACAATTTTTAACTTTTAGAAACCAGCTGTGTTATAATCAATCTCATCTGTTGCAAACATAAATCGTAATATATATATTATATATATATTCCTATAGTAACAATATAAATATATAATAACTAAAACCGCTTAGACAAGAAATCGAAGAACCGTAGACGTCCCTCTTCCCTCTCAACCCCACCCCTAATCGGAGGATATTCGAACATCCTGCGGCCACCCCACGGTTGCGACCAGAGTAGTACAGGGGTAGTAGTAATAGAGGGTTAGGCAGGTGTTGGTTAGCTGCTGTAGCGTCGTATAATACTCACGGCGGCGGAGTTGGCGATACGGGTGACGTGCAGACGGCCCTGTGTCTTCTCTCCCTCTTCCATTTGCCGACGGTGCCAACGGTTCCCTCCATCGCCGAACATCTCAGCGACAGCGACCTCGAATGATCTGCGACAAAACGGAAAAATCTCATTTAGAAAAACAGTACGTTAACAATATACAATAATGATATGCATAAAGGTACGTCGCCACCGGACAAAATCCTGCAGTCGAACTGTAGTGTGTCGCACGCGCGCATCTGAAGAATTTATGCGTTTTTAATCCAACCGGTTCTAATGACGGTATAAAAATAACAAAATACGAAATGCGTATACCGCGGTAATACGACGCTTGCAGGCGGCGGCGTGCGCACCACACCCGCGGCTGTGCATATAATAAATATTACAATAATAATGCGATACAATATTCATCTGCGGGATTCTCGACGAATTCTTAGCGTTCTTCGGATTTCCCATTGCCACGTCGCGATTTGTCCATATATATTATGTACGCATATGAGTATATGACTATACGTACCTACTGACAACGGAGCGACGCATATTATAATGCGGTTTATCGTAGGACGTAAAATACATTTAAGTTTCCCGCTGCAACGCTATGCGCGATCTCGCTGCGGCATATCGTTATTGTTAATATACCTATATCTGCAGGGGTGGCCACTGACTTTTATTTTGGGAGCCTCAAATTTATAAAGCTAATCATCGAGACGAGCCACATTGTAAAGCCATGTTTATAAAATTAAGACACATTTTTAATTTTATCTCAATTTATTTTTTACACTACACATGACACCACTATATATTTTAGATTTAATGAATTTAACTATATAAGCTTTGGGCACAATGATATCACATACATAAATACATAAAGTAGTCCCAAAGGTTGAAATAACACTAGCACACTCTTTTGTTAGTGGGTATTTTTCTTCTGGAACATCATGGGCTCCAAAATTTGGGCTACACATACTAAAAATCACCGTCACCGCTCCAATCTATAACAACGACTGTAATGATAACGAAACTTACGGCGATAAAAACACTATCTTACAATTCTACAACGGACTTATATTTATTAATTTCAGTCTACGCTTGGTTTAAGAGTCGTTGTGGCCACCCCTGTTATATATTGTTACACTTCGCTCGCGTATGTATAGCATCTATATATTATATTCATAGTCGCAAATAACGCGGGTGTCCGGACCGAGCCTCCTATCCCTGGGGTCCCTGGGGTTGTATGGCCCCCCCCCCCAAAAAAAACCGGAGATTTTACACCGCATATAATATAGGTATTATGAAAAAAACGTTCATCAAAATCTTCGGGGCCCCCTCCCCAAATCTCAAACGATGTTTGCGCCTATGGCCCCATATGGTGGGACGCTTCGGGATGTGTGGCCTGCGGAGGATTCAACAACATTTGATTAACGCTCTTGTGGTTTAATATACGTATTATATACCGACCGATCGTATAAATAACGTAAGTAATATATTATTATTATCGTGCTGAGCGTACGCCTCGTATATTATTTTTCTCCGCTGCATGCGAGATTAATAACAAAGTACGTGAACACTGCCTCTATATATACATAATACACGCGTATATATACCGACGAATGACGAGTGTTGTGTGTCCGGTGTACCTATATAATAATATGTGTGTTGTATCGTAGAGGTACATCGCTATTTTATACACACGTAGTTCTCACTGCGTTATTATTATTATTTCCGTTTTCCCGTCCTGGCCGGCGACGCAGGAGAACGGAAGGACGACGACGACAACCATACACACGCACACTTGGCATACGAACAAAGTGCGCACGTTTCCTGTTCGTGATTAACATTAAATAATAATAATATATTACAATAATATTATTAGATATATCGTTGTTATTATAATTATTATTATACTAACGCCATCATAGGACGCGGATAGTTCGACGGACGCGAGCGGGATGACTCGAATCTATGTGAGAGGGACTCTTGTGTGTTATTATTTTCTTCGAAGTTGTAACATTATAATATGGTCAGACGGCACCATAGAGTACTCTATGGACGGCACTCGTCCAGTATATTAATAATAATAATATGATAGCCTTATGGCGATTTATGTACACCGCAGTTCTACACAGACCGACAGCCGTCATCAGACCGATTATCGAAAATAAAAACAAATTTATCGATTTTTTTTTTTACGTCAGTATAATATGATAATTTGCTATAAACAATGGATTTCTTTGAAATCGGATGACCAATTCGTCGGTCGAGCAGCGCAATTATTATAATACAAACGACCATCGCAATAAATTACATAATTGATAACGTTTATATTTAAAACACGAGGATTATAATATGCACATAATGTATATTGTAAGGAGATTATCCGTCGCATCGATTCGAATTATATTATTAAAGTATGTATATATTATTATTATACCTGCCCCTATATTATTAACGATATCGGACAAAAACGTAAAAAAAAATTTAACCTCACGGCACTCGCCACTTTACAATATATTATTATAATAACATTACGGACAAGGAAAAGAAAATTGATAAATCGTATGCGAACAAATTTATTGTTTTATAGCTCCACGCGCCTTTCGGTATCTGCATTAGGTCTAATTTATTTTATTTCACATTTTACCGTTTCAAATAATTAATAGCCGTGTAATCGTTTATCGTTATATTCGTCCAATTGTATTTTTAACGTTTCTTTATGGGACTAAATTAAGAGTTATCGATGCGAGTTGTACGAGTATATCGTCGCGCGAATGAAAAAGGTCCTTGGACGGATATAATAATAATATATAATATACGAGGATGGTTAATACTTCAATCGGATATTTGTATTTCGATATATATATAGTAGTAATAGTATGTATTAAAGTGCATCAAATGTATCATTATATAGTTTCGAGCGAGAATAATATAAGTACCAAAGTACCTATATGTCTATATATATTTTACTGTCAAGACATATATTATATCTAATATTGTCATCTGCAATTTCCTAACTACCCGTGGTCCATAACAATATAATATATTATATATTATAATGTAGAATCATTACATATTATTATGTCACTTCCATGAATGCATATTGAACGTTGAATGTTCAATTAATTAATATATTCAAACGTTATTGTATAATCTTATTATCACGCAACATGAGGTGGCCGAACATTGGAACTCTCGCAGCTCAACTGGTTAGGCAGGTACACACCCAATAGGGTGTGGGGAGAGAATTAGTTTTTGTTTACATATTATATAGAATCATACCCTTATCGATATTTTACCGATTTAAGTAAACATTGTCTGGTGCCATCAGTGAATATATCAACATATTATTATAGTTTAATCGAAATCTCCTAAGAAATCACGTTCATATTTTCAACACTATGTCAATGATATTTTAGAAATATTGTAGTTTAGTAATAATAATTACAAGCTGTACGAGTATAAAACACGAAATGAGTTGGCGCAGGGCTATACCCAACAAACACGGTCAAACACGCCTAATTAGATCAGTAAAGACTTAAACGTTTAAGTGTGTAATTACAACGAATTCGATTTGCATAAATTGAGTTGAAAGTGAACTTTGTGCACGATTATTGAAAATATTTCCACTTGCAAGTACCAACTCGTTGTGTTTACAATAATACAATTAATTTACAAATTATTACTATTTTCCAACAGTTAAAATAATATTATCGGTGAAAAACGAACACAATAAATAATAATATTCTATTATAATAACGATGTTACCTAACTATAATATACCTAACATAATGCCCATGATTCGATATTAATATTTTCAGATTATACGTCTTTTAAATGCGAATAAACCAATCAATAGAAGACAAACTGTATGTATTTGACGTACACTACTCAATATCGTAATTAATTATCCTGCGTGTGCTGCGAATACACGATATTTGTCAATGAGTAAATTTCGACAGACAGAAATTTAATTTTCCGACAATGAAAAAATTACTATCGCAACCGGGTTAGTTGTTAGATATCAGCTAGGTACCTACTTATATTATAATACTCATTGTCCGCATACAATATAATAATAAGACACTGTATTGAAAATAAATTGCGATTTCAACACCGAAAACACAAGCTGCAGACGAACGAAAAAGATCATATATGACGGCGGCGGTCTCGTCGAATAAATTAAAAATATAGCCAGTGTGCGTGGAACCCTATTAACGAAATATTGTTAGGTGATCGATTAATTTCGAAAATATTATAACATAATAATGGGTACAATAACACGCATACTATAATATAATATTATATGGGACATAATAGTGTGTTGCACAACGAAAATACATGGGTATATCACCCGTTACGACAATAACGCGAGTGCACCACGCGACATCGCAGGTATAATAAACATATAGGTACAGCAGTTAAGTAAGAACTTGCACACCTCTGCAGTTTATATGTCGAAGATTTTGAATTTTTAGCTTCCTCCGGTACCCACCCACTTCGAGTTGTGCTATTGCACTTGTGCATATAAACATTAAAATAAAAATACAAAGCATATTATTATATAGGAATAATTATAAAAGAGCCTCGGAAAATCGTGCTGTCCCGCTCGTCTCACCGTCAAAGTAGTCTGCGGCCCTCTCCACCCACGGCTGCCACAGGTGTCTGGTCCGGTCCGCCTTGTTGTTCCGACCGTCCCGGTGCCGATTGTGTTGTTCGTATCTCGAGAACATGACGCACAGGCTCATAACCCGATCTGGCGCTATCGTAGTGTGATATATGATATGATATGATAATATTATGTTATATTAAACGGACGGTCGAAGACGAATCGTAACAAGAAAAACCTCGAGAAAACCAACGAAAAAAAAATCCTAACTGACTGCGAGAAACAATAATAATAAGAAGAAGAATGAATATTATGCGTGTGCGACGAATGACAACTACGACCAGTCTCTGTTTGCGTCGACAGTGCGTGTCAGAGCCGTACGCGTCGCGAACGATGAATGGCGGCTGCGGCCCGTCGGAGGTGGCGTCGTCGTCGTCGTCGCGCCGCCGCTTTTAAAGATTGCCCGCGCCGCCGCGGTTCATTCATGGTGCGGCTGCGGGAAACCG